ATGAATTTCTTTTTCTTTTTTAGAAAACTTTTATTTAATAAGTATAAATTTCCAAAGTACAACTTTTGGATTATAGCGGTTCCCCCCCACCATAACTACCCTCCCACCCACAAACCATCCCATCTCCTACTCCCTCTCCCATCCCATTCTTCATTAAGATTCATTTTTACTTATCTTTATATACAGAAGATCAACGCAGTATATACTAAGTAAAGATTTCAACAGTTTGTACTCACAGACACACAAAGTATAAAGAACTGTTTGAAGACTATTTTTACCATTAATTCTCATAGTACAACACATTAAGGACAGAGATCCTACATGGGTAGTAAGTGCACAGTGACTCCTGTTGTTGATTTAACAATTGACATTCTTATTTATGACATCAGTGATCACATGAGGCTCTTGTCATGAGCTGCCAAGGCCATGGAAGCCTCTTGAGTTCACAAACTCTGTCATTATTTAGACAAGGCCTTAATCAAAATGGAAGTTCTCTCCTCCCTTCAGAGAAAAATACCTCCTTCTTTGATGGCCCATTAACTCTGATTTTCAAATAAATAAATAAATCTTTTAAAAAAAAATTCTGTGAGCAATCTAAGAAATTTTTTTAAAAAGTGAAAGAATTTGTCACCACCAGTCCAGCCATACAAAAGCAGCTTAAGGATGTGCTACACACAGAAACACACAAACATGGTAATTAGTACAAAAAGAGGTGAAGGCAGAAAATCTCCCAGTAAAAGTACAAAAATACAAAGTAAACAACAGGAACGTTGTTGGGAGGGCAAAGTCTTACTTATCAATAGTCACTTTCAATGTAAATGACCTCTACTCTCCAGTTAAAAGATATAGACTAGCTGAATGGATTAAAAAACAAAACCCATCTATATGCTGCCTACAAGAAACACATCTCATCAACAATGATACATACAGACTGAAAGTGAAAGGATGGAAAAAGATACCCCATGCTGTCAGAAACCAAAAAAGAGCTGGTGTAGCCATCTTAATATCAGACAAAATAGACTTTAACACAAAAACTGTTCAAAGAGACAAAAAAAGGCACTATGTAATGATTAAGGGATCAATTCAACAGGAAGATGTGACCATTATAAATGTATATATACCTACAAACTGTTGAAATCTGTATATAGCATAAACTGTATATAAAGTTAAACCAAAAATTAATGAAATTGAAGAAGGGGATGGGAGAAGGAGTAGGAGGTGGGACAGAAGTCAGGGTGGGAGGGCGGGTATGGGGGAAAGAACCACTATTTTCCTAAAGTTGTACCTATGAAAAATGCGTTCATTAAATAAAAGCTTTAAAATATATATATATATTTGGCCATCTGAAATTTAAAGGAAATGTTAAGGGATTTAAAGGGAGACACAGCCACCAATACAATAATACAATAATAATGGGGGACTTCAACATCCCACTTTCAGCAATGGACAAATCAACCAGACAGAAAATCAGCAAGGACACAACAGAGTTAATCAACACTATAGACCAAATGGACCTAACAGATATCTATAGAGCTTTCTATCCTATAGTTGCAGAATACACATTCTTCTCATCAGTGCATGGAACTTTCTCTAGGATTGACCACATGCTAGGAGATGAAGCAAGTCTCAGCAAAATCAAAAAAAATAAATAAAATCATACCATGTATCTTCTCAGACCACAATGGAATAAAGCTGGGAATCAGCAACTCAGGAATCTCTAGAACATATGCAAACACATGGAGACTGAACAACATGCACCTGAATAAACAGTGGGTCATTGAAGAAATCAAAAGAAGTCAAAAAATTTCTGGAAACAAATTAAGACAATAAAATAAATCAAAACTTCTGGGATATAGCAAAAACAGTGTTAAGAGTAAATTTTGTAACAATTGGTGCCTACATCAAGAAATTGGAAAGGCACCAAATAAGTTAACTATCAATGCATTTCAAGGATCTAGAAAAACTACAGCAAACCAAACCCAAAATTAGTAGGAAAAGAGAAATAATTAAACTTAGAAAAGAAACAAAATTGAAGCAGAATATACAAAAGATTAACAAAATGAAGAGCTGTTTTTTAAATAAATATAAAAAATTAATACACCCTGGTTCAACTAACCAAAAAAGGAGGGAGAAGGCCCAAATTAATAAAATTAGAGATGAAAATGAAAATATAACAGACACCACAGAAATAAAAAGAATCATCAGAAATTACTACAAAGATCTCTATGCCAACAAACTGGGAAACCTAGAAGAAATGGATAGATTCCTGGACACATACAACGTACCTAAATTGAGCCATGAAGACATAGTAAACCTAAACAGACCCATAACCAGGATGGAAACTGAATTAGTAACAAATACCCTCCCAGCAAATAAAAGCCCAGAACCAGATGGCTTCACTGCTGAATTCTACCAGACATTTAAAGAACTAACTCCAATTCTTCTCAAGCTATTCAAAACAATTGAAAGGGAGAGAATCCTCCCAAATTCTATGAAGCCGATATCACCATAATTACTAAACCTGAATAAGATACAACAGAGAAAGAGAACTATAGACCAATTTCCCTGATGAACATAGATGCAAAAATTCTCAACAAAATTCTAGTCAATCAAATCCAACAACACATCAGAAAGATCATTCACTCAGACTAAGTGACATTTATCCCTGATATGCAGGGATGGTTCAACATTTCCAAGTCAATCAGTGTGATATATCACATTAATAAACTGAAAAAACAAAAACCATGATTATCTCAATAGATGCAGAGAAAGCATTTGATAAAATACAATACACTTTCATGATGAAAACTCTAAGCAAACTGGATATAGAAGGATCATTCCTCAATAAAATCAAGGCAATTTACAACAAACCCACGACCAGTGTACTATCAAACTGGGAAAAGTTGGAAGCATTCCCACTGAGATCTGGAACCAGACAAAGATGTCCACTTTCACCAGTGCTATTCAATACAGTCCAGGAAGTTTTAGCCAGAGCCATCAGGGAAAAAAAAAGAAATCAAAGGGATACAAATTGAGAAGGAAGAAGTCAAAGTATCCTCATTAGCAGATGACATGATTTCAAAAGACTCTGATAAGAGACTATTATAACTCATAGCAGAGTTTGGCAAAGTGAGATATCACCAAGAGTAGCTATCATCTAAAAATAAAAATACAACAAATGCTAGTGAGAATGTAGAGAAAAGGGTACCTCAATACATTGTTGGTGGAAATACATAGTGATATAACCATTAGAGAAGAGAATATGGAGATTCCTCAGAAAACTAAAAAACTGGGGCCAGCATTGTGGTGAGGCAGGTATGACTCAGCCATCCACTCCTGGTTATATATCTGAAAGAAATGAAGTCAGTATATGAAAGAGTTATCAGCACTCCTATAGCATAGCAGCTCACATGTAATAGATAAGACAGGGAACCAACCTAGACATCCATCAGCTGATGATTCAATAAAGAAAATGGGACATATATATACATGGAATATTACTTAGCCATAAAAAGAATGAAATCCTGACATTTGCAACAAAATGGATGCAACTGGAGATCATTATTATAAGTGAAATAAGCCAGCCCTAAAAAGACAGATACCACATGTGTTCTTATTTGTGCTAGTTAATTTACAAAGAGAATAAAAACTCTGTGGGTGGCATATCATATAGTCATAAATAATGCTTAACTATATTATGCTATGTAAATGAAAATATATTCATTTCACATGTTAAAAAAATTAAGTAGGGAGGGAACAGTGGGGAATCTCGGGATCTAGTAATGCTTTGTTCTTAATTTGGGTGTTATGAATCTGATTAGATGACAATTTATCTGTACACTTAAGTATATTTCTTGGCATATGTATACTGTATTTCAATAAAATGTTTTTGTTTTTGTTTTCGACAGGCAGAGTGGACAGTGAGAGAGAGAAACAGAGAAAGGTCTTCCTTTTTTCCGCTCGTTCACCCCCCAATGGCCACTGCCGCCGGCGCACCGCGCTGATCCGAAGGCAGGAGCCAGGTGCTTCCTCCTGGTCTCCCACGCGGGTGCAGGGCCCAAGCACTTGGGCCATCCTCCACTGCCTTCCCAGGCCACAGCACACAGCTGGACTGGAAGAGGAGCAACCGGGACAGAATCCAGCGCCCCGACAGGGACTAGAACCTGGTGTGCTGGCGCTGCCTATTGAGCCGCGGCGCTGGCCAATAAAATGTTTTTTACAAAAGGAAATAACTCAGGAAAAATTTTAAGATGTTAACTAATATATTTCCTAGTTGCTAAAACCTCAATCTTCTACTTACTGACTACAAAGGAAAAATGAAACTTTAATGATGATAATGTAAATTGTGGCACAAAAAGCTTTTTTCAAGACTTTTTTTGAACAAACAAAATTCACAAATTAGAAGTTGGAGACTCCACTGAACGAGCAACGGACAGGCTTCTACCCAGTGAAGGCCGAGAGTTATACAGAGAAAACATTGTATTGGTCACAAAGTGATCTTATTTGGTCCATCCCATGGGAAAATGCTTAGTTCTACGCTGGTTGGCTGCTGCTGACTGGTTGAACTCTGATTTTCTCTAATACAAGCACTGACAAGAAATTACCCAAGCTTTGTTCTTATTTGCAATTTAACGGAATTAAGGTTTTTTCCAGGCCTAATGGCTCTGTCTGCTCGAGGATTATTTAGTTCTCATCTCCACTGTAAGTTAACGCTGATGAAGAATTCTGGGTTCACCACCTTATTCTCCTTCTCCCTGGAGCCACTCCCACTGTCCAGCTCTGAGTATCTTTAGGCCCTGCAGGCGGTGAGGCAGGGCCGATGCGCGCAGAGCTCTTGCCTACCTGTGAATTCCGCATTTGTCCGCACTCCCACCTGCACTTAGCGGTACCAGATGCACCTGCGCCCTCCCTGAGCAGGCGACCCATCTTTCCCCCGAATATCATGTGCCGAACCTGGGCCACTCGCACCCCAAACAGGGACAAACTCAGCCAGCGCTCACCCAACCTGGCGGGACTCCCACGGCGACCCCAGCGGGACAGCATCGCGGGACTCCCACGGCGACCCCAGAGGGACAGCATCGCGGGACTCCCACGGCGACCCCAGCGGGACAGCATGGCCAGGACCGCACACGAGGGGAGCTCTCCGTCCTGAGGAAGACGCAGGTTCACGAGGCTGCGGGAGCCCAGCAGACGGCAGAGGCCCCGCCGAGCGCCCTGCCCGCCCGCCCTCGTCTCGGGGCGCCCAGGCGCGGGTCCCGGGAGAACCCAGAAACCGGGCGGCGGCGCCACATCCCCAGCCTGAGGCGGCGCCGCGGCCGCCCTCGGACCCCGCCCCTCCTCCAGAGCGCGACGCGCGCCTGCGCAGGCCGGAAGACCCGGCGCACGCGGACTCCGGCCGGCACTTCCGCTTCCGGCTGCAGGCGGGCAAGAGTGCGAGGCTGGAAGCCAGGGGAGACGGAAGCCGGCGGGGAAATGGCCGGTGTCAGGGAGCACACGGGGGACGAGGGAGACGCCCAGGGGAAGGCCCCGCAGGGCGCTGCCTCTGCCTCATGGAAATGGCGCCTGTATTTTGCCCACCCTGTGGGTGGGGAACAGACGCGTAGCTGACGTTGTAGCGGCCAGATTATAAGAGTGAAGTAAGAAGGGGGCTCTGACCACAGGGCCGCTTGACGTCCTCCGCGCTCCTGCAGGGGCTGGGATGACCACCGACCCGGGAGCAGAAGGGCACGGAATCACTGTTCTCCGGGGCTGTGTGTACTGAGCTTTGACATCCAAACAAGGCCCCTTCCATCTCGGGTCTCCCTCCTGACCTGGCTGGGCTGGTCTCTGGGTGTATAGCAGCATGTGCTCGTCTCAGGAGTGAGCCGTGGGTGTGCATGTGTGCTGGGCGGCGCCGTGGAGCTGCAAAGGACTCGGTAGGTCAGCTACGGCTCCTGCAGACGCTGGTTCCTCTCTTGGCAGCGACTTCTGCTGCTGCCCCCGATGCTGGCATCGCATCCGGGATGAGCCGGTTCAGGTCCCGGCTGCTCTGCCTCTGCTCCCGCTTCCTGAAAATGCGCCTGAAAAGGCAGTGGGTGATGGCCCAGGTACCTCAGTCCCTGCCCCCCATGTAGGCAACTAGAAGAGACTTCCTGGCTCCTGGCTTTAGCCTGGCTCAGTCCTGGATATTGTGGGAGACCCGGAGGAGGCACCTGTCCTGGCTTCGGATTAGCGCAGCTCCAGCCATTGCGACCATTTGAGGAGTGAACCAGCGGATGGAAGCTTGTTCTCTCCCTCCCTCCCCTCCCCTTCAAATAACAAATCTTAATACTTTTTTTTTAAGATTTTATTTATTTGCGAGATAGAGTTAGAGAGAGACAGACAGAAAGGTGTTCACTCCCCTAAATGGCCACAACGGCCAGAGCTGGGCCGGTCTGAAGCCAGGAGCTAAGAGCTTCTTTTGGGCCATCTTTCACTGCTTTCCCAGGCCATAGCAGAGAGCCAGATTGAAAGAAGAGCAGGCCGGTGCCGCAGCTCACTAGGCTAATCCTCCCCCTTGCGGCGCCGGCACACCGGGTTCTATTCCTGGTCAGGGCTCCGGATTCTGTCCCGGTTGCCCCTCTTCCAGGCCAGCTCTCTGCTGTGGCCAGGGAGTGCAGTGGAGGATGGCCCAGGTGCTTGGGCCCTGCACCCCATGGGAGACCAGGAGAAGTACCTGGCTCCTGCCATCGGATCAGCGCAGTGCGGCGCCACGGCGGCCATTGGAGGGTGAACCAACGGCAAAGGAAGACCTTTCTGTCTGTCTCTCGCTCGCTCTCTCTCACTGTCCACTCTGCCTGTCAAAAAATAATAAATAAATAAGAGCAGCCAGGATTCGAACCTGTGCCCACATGGGATGCTGACATTGCAGGTGGAGGCTTAGCCACAGCACAGGCCTCATAAATAAAATTAAAAAAAAAAAAAAAAAAAACACTATGAACTACCAAGATACAAAGACAGACCGGTGGCAGCCAGAGGTTAAAGGGGACAATCAACTAGGTAGAGAGCATGGATGATTTTTTAGGGCAGGAGTGAACCCTAATATAAACTCTAAGACTCAGTGATAATCATGTGTCAGCATACACATCAATTCTATCAAATGAGCCACTCCACACCACAGTGGTGACAACAGCCTGCTTGTAGTGGCAGCAGACATGCAAGTATAGGGAAGTCTTCGTACCTTCCACACAATCTTGCTGTAAACCTAAACCTGCTCTGAAACATGAAGTGGAATTTTATAAGAGCAAAGGCCAAAGCCAGGAGCCAGGAACTTCTTCTAGTTCTCCCACGTGAGTGCAGGGCCCAAGCACTTGGGTCATCTTCCACTGCTTTTTCTGGTGCATTAGCAGGGGGAGCTGGATTGGAAGCATAGCTGCCTGGACCCAAACTAGCACCCAGATGGGATGCTGGCATCGCTGGCAGCAGCTCAACCCTCTATGCCATGATGCCTCCCCACAATGTGAGTTTACATAGCTTTTGTAAAGTACAAAAATTTAATGACAGCCCTTTCAGATTCTTCATAATGGGGCTTCAGTGTAAGTTCCTAAAGGTACAGATCACATTTCTTAGTTTCACGTTAGAAATCCTTCTTTACAGTCTTTCTCTATTTTCACAGGGCCTATCACCCACAAGAGTTGCAATGAACATTAAATTAAAACAATTTTTCACATGTCTTACCTTCAGGGAACCACTCCCCTGCATGGTTTATAAAAAATGTTCCAAAAAGGTTGAAAACTGGGGCTGGGATGACAGCTCAGGGAATTAAGTCAGACCCATGACACCAGTGTCCCACATAGGTGTCCATTCCAGTCCTGGCTATTCCACTTCTAATCCAGCTCCCTGCTAATGTACCTGGGAGAGAAGATGGTCAAGTATCTGGGCCCCTGCTACCCAAGTGCGAGACCCAGCTGGGAGTTCCTGCATCCTGGGTATGACCATTTGCGGAGCGAACCAGCAGATGACGCCTTTCCAGTAAGTCTTCTTTAAGAAAAAAGTTTTGAAAACTTAATGGAGGCTTTCTCACACGCTATTCATAAGGTTTCCCTGTATACTGGGTTCATAAATAAAGAGTATGGCTTGTGAAATATCTAAAGTTATTCCCACATGCCTTATTAGTTTCCTAGTATCATCATAACAAAATACCAGACTGAATGGCTTAAGCAAGAAAAATTTATTGTCTCAAAATTTTGAACGCTGAAAGCCCATTATCAAGGTGTGGTTAGGGCTGGTTTCCCTGGAGGCCATAACATGGGTATGCATGGAATCATCTTACCTTCTAATTCCATTTTCCATGAACTTTCTGAACTACCCTCATAGACGGATCTACTACAGGCCTCTGTCCTTGGTTTGCAGATGGTCATCTTCCAGTGACCTTACAGGTTTTTTTCCATGTGTCTATCAGAGACACAAATGGTGTTGACTTAGGGATTGACCCTAATCTCCTCACTTAAAGCTGATCACATTTTTAAATATCTTATTCCAAATGCAGTTATATTGTGAGGACCTAGACATTAAGGTTTCAAAAAATTAATGCTGGTGAAGAAGGCAGGGGAAGGTCTTTCAAATTATAAGATTTTCTCTCCAAAGGGAATTCACATACAAGGTATCTTCAAAAGTTCATGGGAAACACATATTACGAAAAAACTCTGCATAGATTTCCAAAATAATCTGCACCAAAATATACTTATCTTTTAATTTCATTTTTTCCATGAACTTCTGAAGTATCCTGATATGCACATTAATGTCTGATTCAAGATTTCCCACTTTCTCTACATTCATAGGACTTCTCTACAGTGAGATTTCTGACATGTAAGTATTGAGGATTTTGTGAAATCTTTTCACATTCTCTACTGATATATGATCATCTTCACAGTAAACTCTTACGTGCTCATTAAGCCCTGAGATTAGTGATGAAGATGGTTACACATTCCTTAACATTGATCAGATTTCTCCCCCACTGACTTATTTCATATCTTCCAAAGTGAATGAGGACACAACACCTTTAGGCTTTTCCTTATATTGACAGTTTCTCTTCTGCATGCCTTCTTTCGTGATTTTGAAAGGAACTTGGAGAACTGAATGCTTTACCGCACTCTTTACATTCATAAGGTTTCTCCCCAGTGTGAGTTCTTTCATGCAACTGAAATGAATTAGAATATCTAAAGGCTTTCCCACATTGTTTACATTCATAGGGTTTTTCCCCTGTGTGAATTCGCATGTGAAGGTTAACACACGTGGGAAACTTGAAGGCCTTCCCACATTCCAAACATGTGTATGGCTTTTTGGCACTGTGAGTCCGCATGTGATTATTCAGACTGGAGGAATGTGTGAATGCCTTCCCACATTCCTTGCACTCAAAGGGCTTCTCTCCAGTGTGAATTCTCAAATGTCCACTCAGATTTGAGGAAATTGCAAAGGCTTTCCCACACTTGACACATTCAAAGGGCTTTTCTCCAGTGTGAGTTCTCACATGTTCACTAAGGCGAGAGGACCTCGCAAAGGCTTTCCCACAATCCTTACACTCATATGGCTTCTCTCCACTGTGGATTCGTACATGCTTTGTCAAGTCTGAGTTCTGAATGAAGGCTTTCCCACAGTCCTTACATTTGTAGGGTTTTATTCCAGTGTGAATTCGAAAGTGATCATTCAGGCAAGAGGAATTTCTAAAGGATTTTCCACAGACTTCACATTCAAAAGGCTTCTCTGTGGTGTGAGTTTGTAGGTGTTCAGTAAGTTGAGATCTAGGGAAGCCTGTGCCACATTCTTTGCATTCACAGGGCTTATCTCCAGTGTGAGCTTTCAAATGTTGGCTCAAGCATGAGGACACAGTGAAAGCTTTGCCACATTCCTTACATTTGTAAGGTTTCTCTCCAGTATGAGATTTTCTATGCTGAGTCAGCTGACAAGACCTAGTGAAGGTTTGCCCACACTCCTCACACTCATAGGGGTTGCCTCCAGTGTGGCTTCCCAGGTGGATGTTAAGGTATGCAGAGTATCTGAAGCCTTTCCCACATTCCTTACACTGGAAGGGCTTTTCGGCATTGGGAGTTTGTAAACGCGCAGCAAGGGCTGTGGAGTGAATGAAATCTTTTCCACAGTGCTTCCATTCATAGAGGTTTTCTCCACTGTGAGTTCTGCTGTGTGCCTGAAGGTGTGACAGGCTCACAAAGGCTTTCCCACAGTCGTTGCACTCGAAGGGTTTGTCCTGAGTACATATTTTCTGGTATGTGAGATTTGGGGTTAGGCTGAGGGTTTCTCCACATGGATTCAAAACCTCTTGAGAAGAGGTTTTCCTGTGTAGAGGAAGGAAGTCTATTCCACACTGATCACATTCAGAAGTGTTCCCTGTACACTGCATTCTCATGTGTGTCTCAAGTCCAGAGTGTTCATTGCAGAATTTCCCACACTGCTTAGGGTCACAGAGTTCTCCTCCACTGTGGTTTCTTGTCTGTTGATAAAGGGAGGATTGATGATTAAAGCATAATCCAGACTCATTAATAGACTACATGCATCTGAATATAGAAACATTAATATGATGATCACCTCCATTCTGCCCTTCTAATCACATGCACACAGCTCCTACCTTGTTGATTTCTTTAAAGTAAAATGGTAAGGGGCTTCTAATGGAATGCTCTGCCAACTACTCTAATCTTAAAAATACTTCTCAAGGTTAGCATTGTGGTGCAGCAGGTTAAGCCACCACATGTGATGCCAGCAGTCCATATCCACTTCCAAGTCAGCTTCCTGCTAGTGTTCCTGTGAAGACAGCAGAAGATGGCCCAGGTACTTGGACCCCTGCCACCCACGTTGGAGACCCATACGGAGTTCCAGGCTCCTGGCTTTGGCCTGGCCCAGTCCTGGTTGTTGCAGCCATCTGGGGAGTGAACCAGCATATGGAAGGTATCTATCTCTATCTCGTGTGCTAGCTTGCTCATTCTCTATCCTTCTCTCAATCTATCAAATAAAAAAAAAAATCTTTTTAAAAATTCTATAGTTTCATTAAACTGTTTTAAGATTTACTATCAGAGCTAGCAATGTGGCACAGAGGCTAAGCTGCCAATTGTGATGCCAGCATCCTATATGCATTGCTGGTTCGAGTCCCAGCTGCTTCACTTCCAGTCCAGTTCACTGTAATGTACCTGGAAAAGTAGAAGATAGCCCAACTGCTTTGTCCCCTGCCACCAATGTGGGAAATCTGGACAAATTTTCAGGCTCTAGCTTTGGCCTAGCCCAGCCCCAGTCACTGTGGCTAACTAGGAATGAACCAGCAGATGGAAAATCTCTACTATCTAGTTATATTATGAAAATGCATACCTGTGGGAACTCTGAAGCAATAACTATCACTATAGGTTTGAGGCATCCCCAAATCCATCATATTCAAAGTACCTCTCCAGAGACACAGCTCTCCTGGGTCAATGCTACTTCTCTCAATTATCTCTCATTCCACTCATTTTATATAATGGAATTCAAAATCTTTCATAAAAATGGAAAATAAGAAATACTGCTAGGTAATCTTACCACTTGCATCCCACTGGGGGTGTGTCCCTTCAGTGTAGCCTCCTGGTGTGCCAACCCTCCAGCATTAAGCTGCACTTTCCATTCTGAAGTTGAAAAGAAATACAAGGGCTTAGAAACCAAAATGGAAGGCAGAAGGAGCTGAAAATCACAGGATGATTTTTAATTGTTTTCAAATTAAATATGGCCCAGAAAAGACAGCTTTGACAATATTGATTATGTTGACAATTTGGCAAAGTTAAGGATATGGATGTCAAAATTTTAGGTAGTTTATTACAGCTTGATTCTATGAAATCTAAAACTGAAGATGAATTCAACTATTGGCACAGAAGGAACGTAGAAAGTACAAGGCAAGCAGAACACATCAAAACAATGAACTTAAGCCTAACAGGTTATACTGTGAGATCAGAGGAAAGCCTGAGTAGATGGACAAAGGGAAGCTGAAGATATCCTAATACAAAGTTGTCAGAAGCAGAAAGGAGTCACTTGTGAAAAAATAAGGAAGATTCTCACACATGATTGCTTGGGAATAACTATCATAAAAGACTGCAAGAACCACATTACAAAGAAGCCACCATAACCTTACACAAAAAGTACTTCAGGGGTGGGGGCTGTGCTACATGGGGTTAAGCCACAGTTTGCGAACCCCACATCCCATATTGTAGTGTCTGGCTATATCCTAGATACTTCACACCTCACTTTCCTGCCAACATGCCTGGGAGGCAACAGATGACAGCTCAAGTATTTTGGTTCCTGCCACCCATATGGGACACCCAGATGGAGTTTCTTACTCCTGGCTCAGGTTGGTTCATCTGTGGCTGCTACAGGCATTTGGGGATAAAATCTCGTCATCTTCTCCTCCACAACACTGTATTTCCAATAAACAAATACTTTAAAGAACTTCTACAAGGACATATGCCTAGCAACTGTCTGTCACCTTAACTGATGTCACCCTGGTTATTAATTATTGTGGCCAAATACTAGTATTTCAAAATATCTGATGTAGTCCTCCTATTTTTGCCTTTACATTCTTCCCCTTGCCTCAATGTCTTTGAACACACATTTTACCATAATACATGTAGCTCACTGCAATGCCTTGCTAGTCCCAAAGGAATATCATCAGGGACATTAGAGAATATCTTAGAGAATATCCCTCTGATTGCTCTTTTTTTAAAAAGGTTTATTTTATTTGAAAGGCAGAGTGACAGAGAAAAGAGACAGAGACAAAGAGATCGTCCATTGGCTGGCTTATTCCCCAAATGGCTGTAACAGGCCAGGCTCAATTGTCTTCCCAAGTACATTAGCAGGAAGCTGACTGGAAATGGAGCAGCTAGGACTCAAACTGGTGCTCCAATAATCCGCTGCCCCACAACATTGGCCTATTTTTTTCCTTTTTCTTAATTTGGGGTAACATTAACTTTTTTTTCCTTTTTTTAAAGTTTCATTTTTTTCTAAAGATTTTTACTTATTTATTTGAGAAGTAGAGCTAGAGAAAGAGAGGGAAAGACAGAGAAAGGTCTTCCACCTATTAGTTCACTCCCCAAATGGCCACAACAGCCAGAGCAGAGCTAATCTGAAACCAGGAGCCAGGAACTTCTTCCAGGTCTCCCACACAGGTGCAAGGACCCAAGCACTTGGGCCATCTTCTACTGCTTTCCCAGGCCATAGCAGAGAGCCATATTAGAAGAGGAGCAGCTGGGACACAAACCAGTGCCCATATGGGAAGCCGGAGCCACAGGCAGGGCCTTAGCCCACTATAGCACAGCACCAGCCCCGGGAACATTAACTTCTGAGAAAACTTATCTCAATCATCTGAGATAGAAATACGTCTGATAAAATACAGGTGTTGTGGCACAGTAGGTTAAGTTGCCATCTGGGATGCCCATATCCCATACTGAAGTACCAGTTTGAGCTCAAGCTACTCTGCTTCCAATACAGCTTCCTTCTGAAGCTTCCCCAGGAGCAGCAGGTGCTGGCTCAAGTACTTCTGCCTCTGCCACTGAAGACCCAGAGGGTTACAAGTTCCTGACTCTGGCTTGGCCTCGTCCTGGCTGTTCCTGCAGTAAACAATACAAGAACTTTCTCTCTGTCACTCTGCGCTTCAAGTAAGTGAAAAATAAACATTGTACGTTTCCTCATTATACTTACAAACATACTGAACTTATTAATCAGGATCAGTCTTCAGAAGCACTGACCTTGGAGACCTCTTTGACCTCTTTGCACTGTCTTTGACTCTTCTTGTTCCAACCAAGAAATCAGCCTGGGTTTCATGAGCTGACATCCTGTGTGCAGGGAAAGGTACACTTACGGAAGAGGCTCATTCAAGATATGGCACACCTCCCAACGGCTCAAGAACTACAGTTCCAATGAAAGTGATGAAATTATTTCAAAAGGGCTAAAAGTGAAATTCTCATCTCTGTCTGTGCTCCTAAACAGCTGGTTATCTCCAAGCCCCCAAGACCCAAATTTAGGTTTACATTCACATTTTTCAAAGCACTAAAGCTTTTAATCGAGTAGAAAATAAAGAAAGTGAAATGAAGAGATCTTCATTCTCATAGGAGAAGTAACTGCATCTCTGACTCCTAAACATTACAGTGCATCATATCATCTGGAGAGCTCGTCAAATGCAGATGACAGGGCCCCAGTCACAGACATTCTGACCGAGTCTGTCAAAGATGGAGACAGTGAGAGTGATGCTCTTGACTTCAGACCACGTTCTGGGAAACGTCATGATGATTAAACGCTATTAGGGAAGGGCTACGTCTGTTATCTTGCACTGTTTCTGGAGGTGACACCACCAATTCTGCAACACAGTAAGAGGGAACTTCAAAAACTTTGTGGAGGGGATGACACTGTGGTGCAGCGGGTTAAGCTATGACTTGTGACACCAGCATCCCATATCAGGGCGCTGGTTCAAATCCAGGCTGATCTACTTCTGATCCAGGTACCTGCCAATGCACCTGGGAAAGCAGTGGAAGATGGTCCAAGTGAATGGGCCTCTGTCACCCCGATAGGAGACCCAGATGGAGTTCCAGGCTCCTGGCTTTGGCCTGGCCCAGCTCTGGCCATTCCAGCCACTTGCAGAGTAAACCAGCAAATGGAAGATTTCTTTTTTTTCTCTCCCTCTCACTCTGCCTTTTAAATAAATAACATAAATCTTTAAAAAAACATCTTCACAGCAAAAGTGGAATTAAAAGATAAGCTTAATTTGGGGCCGGCGCCGTGGCTCACTTGGTCAATCCTCCGCCTGTGGTGCCGGCATCCTATATGGGCGCCAGGTTCTAGTCCCGGTTGCTCCTCCTCCAGTCCAGCTCTCTGCTGTGGCCACGGAGGGCAGTGGAAGATGGCCCAGGTGCTTGGGTGCCTGCACCCGCATGGGAGACCAGGAAAAAGCACCTGGCTCCTGGCCTCGGATCGGCACAGCACCAGCCGTAGCAGCCATTTGGGGGGTGAACCAATGGAAGGAAGACCTTTCTCTCTGTCTCTCTCTCACTGTCTAACTCTGTCAAATAAAAAAAAAAGTTTATTTTGGTAAACAAAAATTTTGAAATCTGTGAATAATCTTTTCATAACATGCATTTTCCAGGAACTTTCTGCAGATACCTTATTTATAATATAATTTGTTCCTAACAGGCTACATGGAATGATGTTGATCTTACCTACAGTGGCCAGATTCTCATAATTTTCCAGCATCACATCTTTGTACAGATTTCTCTGAACTGGGTCCAGTAAAGTCCACTCTTCCTGGGTGAAGTCCACAGCCACATCATCAAAGGTCACTGACTCCTAAACCATCACACACATGCTGGTTTGAGCCAAGTAATATCTCCACCAGTGTTCACTGGAGAATGAGGAAGGGAGACTGTTGCCTCTACAGGGTACTGGGGCCTCCCATTGTCTATCCCAGGGTTTAAAAGTCCTGTGTATCCCTTTTTCTATCCACACCCACTCACTGGGCATCTCTCATCTTACTTCCTTCCATCACAGGACACTCGTGAGCACACCACAAATGCTTGATAAATGCTGATGAGTAAGTTCATGAAACAAAAGACAGTTTATTTGCCCTACCATCTGCCAGGGCACCCAGCAAAATAAGAAATATACAGTCGGGGGCTGGCACTGTGGCACAGCAAGTAAAGCCGCCACCTACAGTGCCAGCAATCCATATGGGCGCCGGTTCAGGTCCCGGCTGCTCCACTTCTGATCCAGCACTCTGTGGCCTGGAAAAACAGTAGAAGATGGACCAAGTCCCTGGGTCCCTGCACCCACATGGGAGACCTGGAAGAAGCTCCTGGCTCCTGACTTCAGATCAGCACAGCTGCGGCTGTTGTGGCCATCTTTGGAGTGAACTAGTGGATGGAAGACCTCTCTCTCTCTCTCTCTCTCTCTCTCTGCTTCTGCCTCTCCATAACTCTACCTTTCAAATTAATAAATAAATCTTTAAAAAAAAAACATAGAAACATACAGTCAGCACCATAAGGGAAGAGTAATTAGTAAACATGAAAACCTTGGATGATTTCAAGGTAATGCCCCAACAGTATGAGGGGTCCCATTCTCTAGGGAAATTCAACTGGGGATTCAGTCCCTGCATGAGGCGTTTTTGCTGTCAGAGCAGGTATTTGGCCTAGCAGTTGAGATATCTGTGTTTCACATCAGTGTCAGAGGTCTGCGTCCCAGCTCTAGTCTCTGGCTCCAGCTTCCTGCTAATACAGACCCTGGCAGGCATCAGTGATGACTCAGGTAATTGGGTTCCTACCACTCATTTGGGGACCTGGATTGCAATCCCAGCTCTGGGCTTCAGCTACAGCTATCTCAGGTATTTGGAGAGTGAACCAGTCTATGCGAGCTCTGTTGGTCTGTGTCTGCCTCTCACATATATAGACAATACTAATTATTTTAAAAGGAAGGAGCAGCTCTGGAAACAAATCTGCCTAGATGGAAATGTGTCTTCCTGCTGGATGCAAGTAGGTCATTTTGTAGAATGACAGTTTCTGCATACCTGGTAACAATCTGTGAAGCAGTCAGCCAACATCCGTTCTGCTGCTCTCTCTTGTTCAAGAAGGCTCACTGGGTCCCTGTAAAGAAGACCTCATGGAAAAGAAAGCAGGCATGAGAATCCAGAGCTGCCCATAAATTCTACATGCACATGCCTAGTAATCATTCCATCCATGTTTGAAATTCCCACAGAATCCTGCACACTCATGAAAACTCTCACACACACACACTGCCATATGCTGCCAGAGCCATTCTAGCTCACCTACAGCCGGGAAAGGGGTTTTGAGTCATGCTGCCCATCAAGAAAAAGATCAGTTTCATCATACAGGTAAGGAAATGTAACTATTTGCCTATGAGGATAAAACTCACAAAGATTAGGCAGCACCTCTTCCCAAAGCACAGATGCCAGGGGGGTGAATGAGACCATGGCCTTCCCTGGCCTGCTAAGTGAAAGGGCAGCGTGGCTGCGCAGGGTCACCCACTGGGCCCCTTACTGTACACAGAAAACCTAAAGCAGAGTCTCTGAAAGGGGGCATCAGCAGGACTTACCATGAGTCAAATCAACAGCCGCCATCCTGTGAGGGTGATGGTGCAACGTGCCCAGTCTCTTCCTTGATTACAAGATCTCCGGACAGCTTAGGAATCCACAAAGGAAGTGGCAACCTCCATTCCTCTTTGTTCAGGGTTAATGGAGACCTGTTTCTATCAATCAACAAGTATTACTTATCAATAATCTATGTAAAAGACACTGAAAACTGTACTCTCTGTAACAGTATTAGCAACGCCAACTGCTATTTACTGACAACCAGTGTATGTCAGGTTTAAGAGATAGTACATAAGCTCATTTAATTATAACAACCCTTCACAGTAGATTCCATTATTTCTATTTAACACTGAAAAAACAACTAGATTAAGAGAACACTCATAATTAGCCCAACATTATTCAGTTTAGGGAGTGGGAATGAGGTCTTGAATGCAGTGAAGTTTGTCTCTAACGCCTCACAGCTTGTTGTCACAGGTTGAAGAACCCTTCTCCAAAAGGTTTGCGCCTAGAAATGTTTCAGATTTTGGAGTTTTCTTGATTTTGGAATATTGGCACAGACTTTACCACTTCAGCACCCCTAATCTAAAACTCCAAAATTTGGAATGCTCAGAAATCTAAAACTTTTTTAAGCTTGATGTCAGTGCTCAAAAATTTTCAGATTTTCAGATTAGGAATACTTAACCTGTACCTCTCAACATGATCAAAGTTCAATCTAGGGGCTGGCACTGTGGCACAGAGGGTTAAGCCACTGCCTGCAGTCCTAGCCTCCCGTATGAGCGCCAGTTCAAGATACAGCTGCTTTACTTCCAAAGCAGCTTCCTGCTATTGTGCCCGGGCAAGCAGTAAAAGATGGCCTAAGTTTTCGAGTCCCTGCCACCCACTTGGGAGACACAGAAGAAGTTCCTGGCCTCTGGCTTCAGCCTGGCCCAGCCCTGGCCATTACAGCCATTTGGGGAGTGAACTACAAGATGGAAAATCCAGACTGAAACAGGGTCACAGAATTGGCACAGCAAGCAGTTGTGTGGTTATAGCCACAAGGACCAATAAAACCCCTCTGGAGTGCTCTGGGTTTACCACTTGGCCCGCCCCTGCGGTCGACACCACTGGGGAAGGATCGATGGCTGCCGAGTCCTTCCACACTGCTGGGCACTGCAGCCTGGTGTAACTGTCCAGTGTTACGAAACGCCCCTCCCTAACTCGGGAAACCCAAGCGCTCTCAGGGCCCGCCAACTGCCAGCCTGAACAGGGCAAGAAGGGCGACAGCCAAGCTGCTACCACTTCCCACGCTGGTCACAGGGACACAGATCACACTGTGAAGCCTTCACTAAGGGTCAAAGGCATAGATGAGGACGAGCCTGCATTCTGATGGTCCACGGAGCTGGGGAGAGTACCTACGGAGGTCACCAGAGTTCCCAGCCTTCACCGGGAGGATGACAGTCATCTTACTGACAGCAATGTGGCCAGAATCTACTGTCACTGTGTTGCTGCCTCCCCTTGCGTGTGCTGCCCTACGACACTACCCCATAAGAATCACAAATGGACGCCACTCAGAACCACCAGGAGCTTGTGAGGTGAACGTCCAAAGGTAAAGGAAAAAATACTTTAGGCACCTAGAGATCCAAGCCATTCCAAATACTTTACTTAAAAGAGAACAAAAGGGGAATAAAGGGGCTGATTACCTATTTCACAAACATTTAGAGGGGCCGGGTGCCAGTTCAGGTCCTGGCTGCTCCACTTCCAATCTAGCTCCCTACTAATGGCCTGGGAAAGCAGTGAAGGATAACCCAAGTCCTTGGATCCCTGCACCCACGTGGGAGACCTGGAAGAAGCTCCTGGCTCCTGGCTTTGGATCAGCACAGCTCCAGCCATTGCGGCCATTTGGGGAATGAACCAACGGATGGAATTTCAACGTCTCTCACACTCTGTCTCTGCCTCTCTGTAACTCTGCCTTTCAAATAAATTAATTTTTTAAAAAATGGCCACATATCGGACTCTCCTAGACAGGGTCCCACAGACCCAGGGCCTGTGACCCTCCAAATCTAGCTCCCACTGTGCTTTAGGGCATCCTAACAGCATCCCACAAGCATCACAGGACTACTAGGGCCTCAGCAAACATGGGCAGCCTGGTGTATTTCACCTTCAAGAGGTGGTAGCTCACCCCATCCTCAGTCCCTTGCCAGATGCCAGGGTGCCAGCAGATGTCTACCCCAAACCCCTTGGGGCTAACAGCAGGAACAGGAATAGGCGTTCACACCACAAGTAAGGGGTAGTATTTACCATCATACATGATAGAGCTCAGAGGAGAGCTGCGGCTCTCCATCCCTCAGCCAGAAAGAATGGCCACCACGGCCACACATGGCCAACCTTCAGGCACTCACATTAGCACTGGATGCCCTGCTCAATACACTGCCCCATCTCCATGACTATTCTAGACTTAATGGCCCATTACCTAAAAATTTTCTCTGTCAAGGTGAAAATAAAAACCTGGGGAATCTCTTGCCTGAACAATGCCCAAAATATAAAACAGAATCACACAGCTCCACAAAACAAAGCCTTCCTACAACATTCCGTATTCCCGTCAATTAGACATTATTAGTACAAGTTGAGTATCCTGTATCCAGAATACTTGGGACCATAAACGTTCCCATTTTCTCAATTTGGGGGTGGGTGTGGGGGAACCTTGGATTATTAGTATAGACTTTACTGGTTGACCACCCCTAACCTGAAATCTCAAACGCTTCCAAATCTGAATGTTTTTGAGTGTCATGTCAGTGCTCAAAAAGTTTGATTTCCAAAGAAAAACAAATAAAAAAAAGTTTCTGATTTCAGAGGCAGGCATCTGGCACAGGAAGATGCCACTTATGATGCCAACATCTCAAATGCGGTGTGCCTGGCAGGCTCTGCTCCTGACTCCAACTTCTTAATAATTACACCCTGGGAGGCAGCAGGTGATGGCTCAAGTCCTGGGGTCCCTGCCACTCATGTAGGAGTCAGGAATTCAGTTTTCAGCTCCTCACTTCAGCCTGTGGCTGTCACAGGCATTTAGGAAGTAAACCAACGGGTAGAAGTGTTGTCTGTCTGTGTCTGTCTCTCTCTCCCTTTCAAATTAAAAAAAAAAAAAAAAAAAGAGTTCAGACATTTTAGATTCTGGATTTCTGATTCGTGAATTCTCAACTTGTAGTAGCCAACACACTTATTTCACTTCTTAAAATATACAATGCCAAACCCTAGGAAAGGAACGATTTCCCTAACAGGTCCCACATAACTGGTTTTACTGAAAGACATAATGATGTCCTCAAACAACTATTTTTCAATTTCTAATCCAACAAATAAATCTCTATCATGACACAGGCCTTGAGCTATCTTTTGGTTTTGTTCCTAACTTTTCAATCTTGCCCTGCTCCCATAAGGCCCAATGCAGGGAGCATACTCCCCTGGAACTCACTAACCATAGATCTGTCCCACAGGCCAAGTTGCTCCTCACCTCAAATGGGATCAATATGAACCTAAACATCTAGCAACAGAACACCCAATGTACACACACAAAATCCCATCAGGTACAGGAACACATCACTCTATTAACTACCAGTCTTTCTACTACTCCTAGTGGTCCGAGTGCTTTGTTGGAGTACAACCTGGAGGGCCATATCACCTTCAGTGGATACTCACTCGGAAAAAAAAAATACCTCCAGAGCAGGTGTTTTGCATAGAGGTTAAGACACAAAACAGGGGGCCACCGCAGTGACATAGCGGGCATCCCATAGGGGCCCTGGATTGTCTCCTGGCTGCTTCTCTTCTGATCCAGCTCCCTGCTAATGCACCTGGGAAAGCAGAGGGAGGATGGCCCAAGTGCTTGGACCCCTGCACCCACTGAGAGACCGGGAAGAAGCTCCTGGCCCCTGGCTTTAGATTGGCCCAGCTCCAGCCTTTGCGGCCATTTGGGGAGTGAATCAGCAGATGGAAGATTTCTCCCCCTGTCTCTCCCTCTCTCAGTCTGTAACTCTGCTTCTCAAATAAGTAAATCTTTTAAAAACCAAAACCAAACAAACACTTTCTCCATTTCATACTCACTTTCCTAAGCAGTTAAGAAACAAAAATGCTTTTCCTACTCAATTTCCTTTTCAACATGGCTAAAAAATACAACTTATACTTTGTAAGAATACACCTGATCCTACTCTCAAAGAGAAAACAACACTGCAGTTTACTTCCAGACTCTCACCTATTTGTGATAATGCATTTATTTGCTTAATTACATGCCAGCCTGCTCCATTAGTTTATAAGCACCCTAAGAAAAGCCCTAAAGACTCTCTACTGATTTATCTCTCTCTTGCCCTCTCCCTGGTGCCCATCGGGCTTCCCCCACCCAACAATAAACATTTCCCTTAAAAAAAAAAAAAAAAAAAGAATAGCCCTAGAGTGAATTTTTTTGCTCTGTGCCTTAATCAACCATTCAGGTCTGCATCAGTTTACAGGAACTATAAGAAATGGAGAAAACATTTAAACACATCAAAAGAATGCAATTAGAAGTATTAAAATGTGTGACCTTCTGAACAAACATGAGAGTCTCCAGAAAGACAACAGGAAAAAGAAACAAGAGACTGAAAGACACAGGACAATGTATAAAACACGTTAGATCTAAAACAACCAAAATCACATCTTGGAAAACAATGTGGAGGATTTGCCATAGATATATAGTTTAAATGTCTTCGTTCGCTTGACAGGCAGAGTGGACAGTGAGAGAGAGAGAGAGAGAGAAAGGTCTTCCTTTGCCGTTGGTTCACCCTCCAATGGCCGCCGCGGCCGGCGCACCGCGCTGATCCGATGGCAGGAGCCAGGAGCCAGGAGCCAGGTGCTTCTCCTGGTCTCCCATGGGGTGCAGGGCCCAAGCACTTGGGCCATCCTCCACTGCACTCCCTGGCCACAGCAGAGGGCTGGCCTGGAAGAGGGGCAACCAGGACAGAATCTGGCGCCCCGACTGGGACTAGAACCCGGTGTGCAGGCGCCGCTAGGCGGAGGATTAGCCTGGTGAGCCACGGCGCCGGCGGATTTTGCCTTTTAACACATAGCAGCTATTAATAATATTTAACTTTTTTCTTGGTTCAAATAACAGTATTGTGGTTTTAACAGGACAATGTCTTGATCTATAGCAGATGTACTGCCAAGCTTTTAAAGTTCAAGTGTCAGGCATCAAATTTCCTATTTTCTTTCAAACAGTTCACACAAAAAAATGCATTTCATTTTTCTGGGCCAGAGCCAAGGATACATGCAAATACAATAGTAGCGGTGCAACAAAACCTCATCGCTTCTTCCCGGGGCCCCTGTCCTGCAGCTCTGCGGGGAGACGCGGGCCTGGAGAGTGCAGGAAAATTCTTGTTTTATGTAGGACGCCGTGCGGTCTCCACACGTTTGCTTTCTGCTCACAGAAACGTGCAGGCGCCACAGGCGCCGTAAGAAAAGAGGTGGCTTGGTCTTGCTAGCAGAACGGAACGCAGGCCGCGCAGAGACAAGCAATGATTCCCAGGGAAGTGGTGTTCGCACAAGCGCAAGGCAGCCGCCCCCGCCCAGCCCCGCACCTACTTTCCCGCCGGCACCGCCCGCTCCGACGACCGCAGCCAGCGCGACGGAAATGAGGCAAATCCCTTCCCTTCTGGGGGAAAAAAAATAAAAAAGTCACACAGAAAATAGAGGTTTCTGAAGGAGCAAGGGGCCGTGTTCCTCAGGGCACATCCCGACCTGGCTCCTGAGGGCGCCGCACGCGCGAGCGCCGCCGGCCCGAGCCGCCCCGCGGGCCCCGGCCGCATTGCTGCCTCCCCACTGCTCGGTCACCGGCTCCTCCCTCACCCAGGCTCGCCACGGCCAGGTTCAGACGGAAGACCACCAAGCAACAACTGAACTTGGCCGCGCACCGCCGGCTCCGGAAGAGACGGCGGCGGCCCGTGACGTCACTTCCGCTCGCGGCCTCCAGCCCGGAAGAGCGCGGCTGCGGGGCTCCCGCGGCTCCCTGGCCGGGCACCTGCGGGCGCGGAGGTTCTAGTTTCTTCCGACGTGAACCGGGCTGGGGGGCTGGGGAGGCCCGGGTGACCAGGAGGGGCCGTGAGCCCGCGGGCGGTGACCTTGCTGGACTAAGCGGACGCCCACCTTCCCGGAGCCCCTGCGGTCTGGGTGCTGGAGAACCTGCCAGTCTGTCAACCCAACCTCTACCCCGTCACTGCCTCTTCTTTGCTTTTATTTATCTGGATGCCGTGGCACACTCTTAGTACTTGATGACTTTTATTCTCAATGTACTACTGTTTGTAAATCTTCAGATTTTTTCTTCGAATACATAGTTTTTAAAAAATATTTTATTTGAAGAGTTACACAGAGGAGAGGGCAGAGAGAGAGGGTCCTTCCATCCGATGGTTCACCCTCCAATTGACTGCAACTGCTGGAGTTGTGCTGATCCGAAGCCAGGAGCCTGGAGCTTCCCCCCGGTCTCCCACGTAGGTGCAGGGCCCAAGGACTTGGGCCATCTTCTACTGCTTTCCCAGGCCACAGCAGAGAGCTGGATTGGAAGTGGAGCAGCCGGGTCTCGAACCGACTCCCAAGTGGGAAACCCGCGCTTCAGGCCAGGGCGTTAGCCCGCTGCGCCACAGCACTGGCCCCTATGGGTTTTTGTTTCTCAAATCTTACCATACCTTCCAGGGACTCCAGACTGTTAGGAAACTGGCACAGTTGTAGCCAGGTGGCCGCATGGCCCAGCTACCTGAGCCAGGCTCCACCCCCCATCCTAATTGGATTCACTGCTCCTGCTTCCCTGCCCGCCCTCAGGCAAAGTTTTAAAAGGGCCTGTTCCTGCACACGTGCTCTCTCGGTCCTTCTCTCCTGAGCTCTCTTGGCCTCTCTTGGCTTCTCTCATCTCTCTTCTCCCTCCTCTGTCTCTCTTACAGTCTCCTTCTCTCTTTTTCCTTCGCTGCCCCTTCACTCCGGTGTGTAGGGTGTTCCCCAGTAAACCCTTTCCCTTATTCCGGTGTCCGGTGTGCTTTGCGACAGCTAACATTAATATATAACACAGATTATGTTGTAAATAATACTTTACACTTCAGCTCTCTTCACCTACAGAAGAATGAGGCTGAAGATTTCCAGTAATGATTTCTGCTGTGGTTTTTTTGGTCGGGGGGATCTTTGTGGAGTTAATGAAGTTATTAACACTATTTATCAAAATACTATATCAAGATTTGTTCATGTACAATATCATATGGATTTTATGAATCTGTTGTTAACTATTTTGGTATTCGTCTTGCTGCACGAAATATTTTTTATGTAGCCAAATGAATTTTGTCAAAAATAATTTTTGAGTGTATTGGCTAAAGTCTTCATAGACTATAGATTACAAACAGATTGCTTAATTTTTCTCTGCTGTATATCATTACTTTTAAAAACATTTAAATCTTTCACACTTCTGAAATGCATTTTCGCATGTGGCATTGGGTACTGGATTCAATTTTTTTTTTTAATTTATTTGAGAGGCAGGCAGAGAGCTAGACAGAGAGAGTTCCGATCCACTACTTTACTCCTCAAAAGCCGGAAATAGCCGGGGCTGGGCCAGCCCAAAGGTGGAAACCAGGAATTCATTCCAGGTTTCCCATTTTGTTAGCAGGGACCCAACCAGTTGAACAATTTCCACTGCCTCCCAGGGTGTGCATTAGTGCAAAGCTGGAATCAGGAGCAGAGGCAGTACTTGAACACAGATACTGTGATATGGGATGTGGGCATTCCAAGTGGACTCTTATCCACTGGGTCAAGTGCCCACCCCCAGTTTTTTTCCTCCAGAAAGATTGCTAGTTATTGCAGTAATTACCATTTCTTTATTTATAGTATGTAACTTACCAGAATTTCATGTTTATTAAATGAGTTCCTATTTATAAACCTGTTTTCTCTATATATAATATTTATACCAGCACAAATATCAAAATCTTTCCACTCCAGTGGTTTCATATCAGCTGTTAATACATAGTATTAAAAATATGATGGTAGCTGTTTGTTGTATATTACTACATATAATAGATGTTAGGCTGGCGCCACGGCTCACTAGGCTAATCCTCTGCCTGTGGCGCCGGCACACCAGGTTCTAGTCCCAGTCGGGGCGCTGGATTCTGTCCCGGTTGCTCCTCTTCCAGTCCAGCTCTCAGCTATGGCCCAGGAGTGCAGTGGAGGATGGCCCAAGTCCTTGGGCACTGCACCCGCATGGGAGACCAGGGAAAGCACCTGGCTCCTGGCTTTGGATCAGCGTGGTGCGCCAGCCACAGCAGCCATTGGAGGGTGAACCAATAGAAAAAGGAAGACCTTTCTCTCTGTCTCTCTCTCTCTCACTGTCCACTCTGCCTGTCAAAAAAAAAAAAATGCTAAAAAAAATAGATGTTAAATGTTCATGCTCCCAATAATGTAGCAACTACCAAGATTTTTGCGTTTTTTTAACCAGCTTTGAGATATAACTCACATACTACACAATTCACCCATTAAAAACTATACAATTCCACGGCACCGCGGTTCAATAGGCTAATCCTCTGCCTAGCGGCACCGGCACCCCGGGTTCTAGTCCCAGTCAGGGTGCCAGATTCTGTCCCGGTTGCCCCTCTTCCAGGCCAGCTCTCTGCTGTGGCCAGGGAGTGCAGTGGAGGATGGCCCAAGTGCTTGGGCCCTGCACCCCATGGGAGACCAGGATAAGTACCTGGCTCCTGGCTTCAGATCAGCCCGGTGCGCCGGCCGCAGTGCGCCAGCCGCGGCGGCCATTGGAGAGTGAACCAATGGCAAAGGAAGACCTTTTCCTCTGTCTCTCTCTCACACTGTTCACTCTGCCTGTCCAAAAAAAAAAATTAATAATTTACAATTCAATCTATTTTGGTACATTTCGCAATGTTGAGCAGCCATCATGATTTTTGAAGCTATTCATCACCCCAAAAGAACCTCTTGGGGGGCAGAGTAGTGATGTGGAGTGTGGAGCTGGTGCCTGCAGTGCCCACATCCCACTCGGGAGCCAGTTCAAGTCCTGGCTGCTCCACTTCCGATCCAAATTGGGAAGGAAGAAGTCAAAGTATCCCTCTTTGTAGACGACATGATTCTTTAATTAGGGGATCCAAAGAATTCTACTAAGAGACTATTGGAACTCATAGAAGAATTTGGCAAAGTAGCAGGATATAAAATCAATACACAAAAATCAACAGCCTTTGTATACACAGGCAATGCCATGGCTGAGAAAGAACTGCTAAGATCAATCCCATTCACAATAGCTACAAAAACAATCAAATACCTTGGAATAAACTTAACCAAGGATGTCAAAGATCTCTACAATGAGAATTACAAATCTTAAAGAAATAGAAGAGGATACCAAAAATGGAAAAATCCATGCTCATGGATTGGAAGAATCAATATCATCAAAATGTCCATTCTCCCAGAAGCAATTTATAGATTCAATGCAATACCAATCAAAATACGGGGCTGGCACCGTGGCTCACTTGGCTAATCCTCCACCTGCGGAGATGGCATCCCATTTGGGCACCGGGTTCTGGTCCCAGTTACTCCTCTTCCAGTCCAGCTCTCTGCTGTGGACCAGGAGAGCAGTGGAGGATGGCCCAAGTGCTTGAGCCCTGCACCTGCATGGGAGACCAGGATCACCTGGCTCCTGGCTTC